GTGTTTATATTGCAAAGGAGTGGCTCTGGCTCTTTAAATGATCTGGTAAAAAAGTAGAGAATGATGTAAAATCATACCGTATGTCTCCCTTTTCACCAAAACCTTATAATCCAAAAGTATTTACATGGTTTTGGTTTCAAATGTTTATTATAAAGATGTGTTTCAGCTGCACAGTTGTATATTAAAACAAAAATGATGGTTTTAGTTGCATCTAAAAGGACAATTTGCAGATTGTCGCCGATTAAATATCCCCCCGCGTCACCGTTTACTTCCATGCATGTAGGACAAACAATGGTGGCAGCAAAAAACACCCACTTGAGATCTGGGGTTTGATTTGTCTCCTCTGGGGTGCTGGAAAACCAGGTCAATGTGACAGTGAATCACTGGAAGCAAAACTGCGCAATCTGGAGATATAAAGAGCTTATTCACAGATAACAGGAAGCTAGACATGAGCCAGAGTAAAAATGTGATGATATAAGAACATGCAGCTAAAATACTAGTTTCACTGTAGTAATACTAAAAAGTGCATCAATTAATCTAACAGATTTTATTGAAAAACAAAAATGCACCTACAGTTACTACTGCTGCCTATATTACCACATATTACTACAACTATAGGTGTAATATATTTATAATACATTAAAATTAATAATAAGTTTATTTTAAATTGAGACCTGTATGGAGAGTGAATATTTTTTATTATTATAATTTACCAAGGACATTGAATATAACTAAAAAAATATTGTTAAACTCCTTTAGTTAGCCAAAAGGCTAATTTTATTCAGTTGTCATTAGCAAGAGTGTGCTGACAGTCATCATTTAAAACATCTGTACCATTTCATTTATAGTCTAATATTTATTTTAAACATGTCAGCTGTTGATATTTTAAGAATCAAAGTTTAAAGTGTCATTTTATTTCAAGTATTGACATAAAATTTAAAATCAGTTTCAACTAAAACATCTCTGAGCTAACAGGTTGATTAAAATATATATACTTTTTAAAGATGTTCTTATTAGGAGGGGGGAAAAAGACAAAACTAAAGGTCTAGCAGTCTTTGAAACAATGCATACCCTGCCACTGCCGTTCATGCCTGAGCTTTAAATGAAGCTCATCTTTTAAGGAAAAAAGAAAGAATTAGAATAGTTAAGGTCAAACCTTTTAAAATTATTTGTCTGCAATCGTATGTGATTGTTTAAGAACTCACAAACTGTGTTCGTGCTCAGAGTATGTGCTTGGGATGTCTCTGAGCTACGACAACGTCACACTTTAGCTTAGCGCCTGTAAATATGTCACAATTATTGCCATTTTTGTGTTGACGAAGTTCAGTGAGCTGAGGCAGCCATCTTGAATTGGAGTGACTCCAAAAGTTAGATGCAGTTTTACATCCAAGGAGTTCTGAGTTTCAACAAAATCCAACCAGATGTTCAGCAGATATTCTGCTAACACCACAGACCCACGAACACACACATGCACAAGCATTGTTGCCCCTTTGGCATGTGTGGAGGCAATAAATCTAGATTAAACACAAGATAAATGTAACTATTGTCCTTAAAGTGCTTACTGTGCAGAAAATCACTTTTTCCTCTTGTGTTCTTCTCTATAAAGTAACGTTGGGAGCCTGACAGGCGGATGTTAGCTAGTTAATTAGCCGATTTACAGCAAGCCTGCAGCAGGTTGTTCATCAGACCAAGGGATGCAAACTCCTGAAGCTTGCTGCAAACATTTGTTTTAAAACAAAATCACCCTATAAAAGAGATACAATAGATTTCACAAGTTTGGACAATTTGTGTTTTTACTGCCAAATATTCTGTATTCTTATATAAAGTGTAAAAGTTTAAGGGACTACCTCTCCTCAGGCCACCATCAACAGCTGACTGACAACTGACAGCAACAGGTAGAGGAAGTGGAGCATCGCTTGGTGCTACATATGACTGGTGAAAATCTTGCATCATCACTGACATGTCATTAAAATAGTTTAAACTCCAGGAGCTGCGTGACAGAAAGGTGTTGAGGTTTAGACACAGTCACTGTTTTAAAACAGAAGCTGTCCCATGCCCCACACAAGGATCCTGCAACCTTTGTAACCAAGAGAGCCATGTTTGCCATCCATCCATCCTTCCTTCCATCATCTTCACCCCCTTCTTCCTTTCAGAGTCATGGGGGTCACTGGTGCCCATATCCAGCAGTCACTGTGTGAAAGGTGCGGGACACCCTGGACAGGTCCCTAATCCATCACAGGGACACATAGAGACAAACGAGACAACATACTTTTTCTCACTTACACCAAGGGATAATTTAGAGTTAGCATCCATCCATCCATCCATCCATCCATCCATCCATCCATTCATCCATCTATCCATCTTTTACCTGCTTCTTCCTTTTCAGATTGTGGAGGGATCAATGGTGCCATCCAGCTATCATTGTGCGAGAGGTGGGTACACCCTGAACAGGTCTCCATTCCACAACAGGGACACATAAAGACAAATGAGACAAACAACCATCCACTCTCTCACTCACACCTATACAATTTAGAGTTACCAATCAGCCTAACATGCATGTTTTTGGACTGTGGGAGGAAACCAGAGTACCCGGAGAAAACGCACACATGCACGGAGAGAACATGCAAACTCCACCAGATCCAACAACCTTCTCTCTGAGAGGTAACAGCTCTACCAACTGATCCACTGTGATGCCAACTTAAACTTTTATTTGGTATATTTTTAAATATCCTCATTGTTCTCAGAATGTTTTGACTTTTTTTTTTTTGCAGAATGCCTGATTTCATAAACATGTAACAGAGTAATACTTTTGCAAAACTGCCCTTTGTGTTTTTCCTGTAAGGTACTTGCTGTTTATGAGAACAAAACAAGAGCTTTAGGGCAAAATGATTGATTGTGTTTTGAATTAATCGCATCATTCTGTCACAAAAGGAAAAAAAGTCACATATTGCAGAAAAATGGAGAAGAGAACTGCTACAATTAGCTTTTCAAAGTTATAAACGTGAATTTTAATGTTCCTGTTAGTTTTGGTCCCAGCTACAAAGAGCCACATGTGGCTCCAGAGTCACAGGTAGCAGACCCTGCCCTAAACAGATTTGAATTCCTTACGTAATACAACCTGAAAATTAAAAAGAAATTGCAGTACGATGTAAGTCTCGATGACAAAATATTTAAGAGAACAAAACACTAAAGCATTTTAAAATGTCTACTTGTAAGTATTTACAGTGCAAGCTGGAAGACGTGCGGCCTCATCAGACTGTTAAAACAGTGTTTGACCTACAAATCTGAGTGGGACAGAGTATGGAAGACACATCACTGTTTTGGCTCAATACTTAATCAGACTCCCACTGTTTTGAAGCAACAACTCGTAAATTGCCACAGGAAAAAAAATAAAAATACAAATTTTCCCATCAACTCCTCAGTATTTAAATTACTAGAACTATCTGTGTCTCATGGTGTGCTGAAATGTATAACCTTCTTAATCAGAACGAGCAGTACGTCCATGTCTTCCACCACTGAGGGATTTGAAAAGTGAATGTTTGTTTGTTATGAGATGAGTGTTTTTTTTTTTTTTTCTGGACTGGAACTGAACACAGAATGCAAGTAAACCTTAATGTTTTTAATGCAAGTTATTCAAATGGGTAGTAGTTAGTGTGTAGAAGAACAAAGGGAGATTTTTTTTTTTATTATTTGCTTGTCCAAAGCAGTGCAGAGTGACAGATCCTGGTGAGTGGAGGGAGCAATTATTTTATCCACTACCAGGGGCAATGAAAGAGCCGGGGGTGGGGGTGGGGGTGGGGGTGGTGTAATAGTAGCCTTGGCCAAGATTATTCTGCAGCCACCTCAGTCATTTGAGGAAACTATACTTTTAAGCAAAATAAAAACTAGAAAGCAATGGCAAAGTTTCCTCAAATGTTTAGGCTCAACTGTTTACATATTCATATGGTGGCAGCCATCTTGGATTTGGATGTGGTAACCCAATTTTAAATAGAAACCTTTCTCACACCAGAATGGAAGTCTAGTTATCACGCTAACAACAGGCACGGATAGACAAACAGACTAATGGTATTCTCTACTCTCCCTCGTCGCTCTGCAACAACGGAAAATAAAACTTTAAGAGATTTAAAACTATAGAAAAATAAGAAAAAAATAAAGTCCACAACACTGCTGAGATGAAAACAAAGAGATATAACTTGATAGGAGTGTGAGGGAAAGCATTCGGGGGGGTGCAGGCAGTGCACAAATGGGCAGATGGAAAGGGGAAAGGTCTTGAACTGCCTCGTTTTGGGGGTTATGAGAAGGGAGTAGAGATGTAAAAGGGGTGATGGAGGTGTGAAGGTGGGGTCAGTTGGTTTGTGAAGGAGAAGGTTGAGTAACTAGAACAGAAAATAAAGAAATAACTAAAACGTGGCAATATGAAGTTGCTGATAAGGAAGGAAGAGAAGCAGGTGAGAGAACAAGCAGGAAAATAAATTGAAGAGGGAAGAAAAGAAAAGCGATAAAGAAAATGAAAACAGAAACAATGATGGAAGAGCAAAAGATTGCACCTGAAATCCAAACAGGCAAAACTCAGAGCTGATGGTCACAGAGGGATAGTTCATATTTAGACACATCCACACTTTGCTTTTACACAGTTATCTCGACACATCAGTTCGGTCTGCTAATTCCCAGCGCCATCTGCTCTGCAGTTTAAGATGCACCTCTGGAGTAGCAAATGGGGCTCCAGAATTTTGAGGGGAGGGATGTTGAGTTGGAAAATATGGGAATAATTTGCTTAATTGAAGCACCTAATGTTACCATAACTCAGCAATGGCAGACTCAGAGGTAATCAGGCAGACTAAGTGTGATCACACTTCTCTCTCCTCGGAGTAGGAGGTCTCTCCTCCCCAGCTTGATGGAGTTTTCCTCTAAATGAAGACCCATTTATAAAAGAGCATTTTTTTAAAGGCTGTCTCTTATATTGGTAGGAGCCAGAGAATAGAAAATCATGCTGTTCTTACCTTCATAAGCTACCTTAAATCCGTGAGCGCTTACTGCAAAATCACTGGTAAGCCTCAACGAAAAAATGGAGCCAGAACTGGTAACAGGCGGAGGGATGGTGAATCCTGTTAACCTGCAGATAAGAGAAGAAGACCTCAGTACTGCATGTATGATGTCACTCACATCAGTACTATATTCAGTAATAAATATTACACTACGAAGCTGCAGTTCAAGCCTGAATAACTGCCCTGACCCCCCCCCCACCCCCACTCCACACAC